GAATGCCATCTCTGTCTCTGACCCCCCCCCCAAAAAAAAAAGGTCACAAGGAGAATACGGACTCCAGTCCAGTGGCACCCTCAAGACTGACAAGGCCTTCGGGGCAGAAGCTCTGGGGAGTCGGCGCTCCCTTTGTCGGGTGCCGTCTCCCTGCCGAAGGGAGCTCTGACTCTCAAAAGGTCTCTAAGGTGCTACCGGACGTGAGTCGGGCTCTTCTACGGCAGACCAACATGGCTACTGTTAAAGTTAACTGGCCAGAATCAAACGACCGAGTGAGCATTTGGCCTGAGGTTGACCTGTCTGTGATTTACAGCAACAGGTGCAGTTAAACTGGTCTGAACCAGGTCAGAAACTGGGTAGAAGAAGTGTCACATGCCTGAGCAACGGCAGAGGTCGGTCAGACCACTAAGTCCCAAACCAATCGTATGTTTCCCTGCCAAAAAGTGTATGTTGGAAGTTGTAGCCCAGTTCCTTTGGAAGTTCTAGAAATGTGTTGTGAAAACTCAGATCGGGGTCCCTGAGCCCATTGTTCTTGGACCCCGGCCTGTTAAATAAATTCTGTTTTTCTGTTTACGGGGTCTCTGGTTTTAGGTGTGGTTGTTTCCAAATTCAACCTTTAGGGTGACCTGGTGTGCCAAGGAAATTCCCGGACACCACTGTTAAGTCCTGAGCTTAACAAAGAGTCAGAGAGTGATTTCAGCCAAAACTCAAGTTTATTCTTCACGATCAGTTCTCCAACACGGTACAACATCTGATAGCCCGAACAGCTTTCCATTGTAGCTGCTCGGTATTTAAACATTTCCCGGCTAATATAGCCACTCCTACTTTACAGATAACAACCTATCAGGTTGATCGCATAAAGGCCAATCACAAACGTTCTCGCTTGTAGCCTGCTTGAATGTGATTGGTCGCATTTGTCTTGGCTTGAATCCCTGGCCAAACGAAGCTTAACATAGCTTCCCTATGAGATGGTTTACATACATCTTAATGCATTCATGGCAGCTTCTGAATACATTACAATTCCCTTCCCCCTAAGCAAATACAGTCAGGAACACTCATAATCGCTTAGGTAGGTAGGTGCACGTCGATTTCTCTGAGACCTACGAAGTGTACTAGGCTCAGGGCACCTTACTGTCAGTGGCACTCCGTTCGACTCTGGGACCGCAGAGTCAGGAACATTCCCGTCCGTTTCTGTGGGTTCAAGAGTAGGGGTCTGCCCTGCCTCAGGAACAGTACTGTGGCCCTCAGGCTCTGCAGTACTCGCCTCCGCTGGAGGTAGTGGGAACTCCTCAGGGTCTGGGGACTCAGCCGGCTGCACGGTGGAATGGTCAGTTGCCCACCGCTGCCTCAGCTGGTCTATGTGCCTACGCCACTTGCGACCATCTGCAAGCCGTACCACATACATTCTTGTACCAATTACATCGGTAATAGTGGCTGGTAGCCACGAGTGACCACTGGCATAATTTCGAGCAAACACCTGCTCACCTTTTTCGTATGTTTGGACCTTAGGTTGTTCACACTGCTGTTGGGGTTTTAAATCATTTAGGTCCGGGTGCAACCTATCCAGTAAGGTAGCGAGACGTCGCCCCATTAACATTTCGGCCGGGCTGCGGCCGGTTGCAGAACAAGGCGTAACATGTTGCCTTAACAGAAACGACGCAAGTTTCACCCCCCAATCTCCACATACCAGCTTTGCAAGGGCTTCTTTTATTGTTCTTACCATTCTTTCTGCCTGGCCGTTTGAGGCCGGGTGGAACGGGGCTGCTGTCATTTGTCTGATGCCATTGTCAGACAAGAACTTTCTGAACTCCTCAGAAGTAAACTGTGCGCCGTTGTCGCTCACGAATACGTCTGGCAGCCCATGAGTGGCGAACAACTGGCGCAGCACAGTGACGACAGCACTCGAAGTGGTAGAGCGCATGTGTGCCACTTCTAACCACTTTGTATAGGCGTCTACAATTACCAGGAACATTTGCCCCTGAACCGGCCCTGCAAAATCGAGGTGGAGCCTCGACCAGGGTTTTCCCACCGACTCCCATCTTTGCGGAGTAGCGGTTGGCGGTTCAGGCCTAGCCTGCTGACATGGCTCACACACCCGAACCCATTCCTCTATGTCCGCGTCTAGCCCGGGCCACCAAACGTACCCGCGGGCTAGCGCCTTCATGTGGACCATGCCTGGATGGCCCTCATGAAGTGATTCCAGCACTTTTTGTCTTAGTTTGTGAGGTACCACCACCCGGTTTCCCCACAACAAGCATCCCTTGGACACTGAAAGTTCATTTTGGCGCATTTTGTAGCCTTTAAACTCCGGCTCCATAGACCCCCGGACACCACCCTCTGAAAGGATCTTCGTGGAGAATATGGAGAACTTCCAGAGCCCACGTGTGTTCAAAAAGATTCAGTGGTTTTTTCCCCACCTGGGCAAATGATTGACTGTGGATTGGGAATGGATCTGATGGATCTGTGAGTTGCCTCCAGCAGAGTCTGCCCATCAAGGGCTGGTGCACACCTGTCAGGAATCCCCTTTTATCCTCCAATACCTGTGTGAGGCAGACTATTTATTTATGACATTTCTACCCCCACCTCTCTCCCCATCACTCTCCTTGCCTCGATTTTATCCTCACAACAACCTTGTGAGGCAGGTTAGGCTGAGCGCATGCAACTGGCCCAAGGTCACACGGGGCAGAGTAGGGACTTGAACCTGGGCCTCCCAGACCCTAGCCCAGCACTCTAACCATTACACCACACTGGCTCTCTCTTAGGTTAGGCGAAGAGACCGTGACTGACTCCAGGTTGACGGAGACCTTCACAGCTGGGCATGGATTTGAACTCACATCTCTGTGGTCTGAGTCTGCTGCATTGCATTGATGAAGCATGGTAATGAAGAATGGGTCGGGTTCCTAGGCTGGGGAATTGATCTGCCCGGAGGGTGAAGTGGACCTGAGGCTACTAGTGTGAGAACTCCCTCGCAGGCTGCTGCACACCGAGGCTCTCAGCAGATCATCTGTGCTGCCGGATGCATCTCTCGCCGTATCTGTCGCAGGACAGGCCCAAATAATGGCAAGCCGCTTCCTCCCGATTCTGAGGAGCCAGCAAACGTGCTCCTTATTGACTGCCACTCGTCCCGCCCTAGCCAAGGCAACTTTGCAAAACTGTTCTTTCTGCTTGCCGAGTCATTGCCACAGGGAAGTGACCACCACCACCACCCCCAGCCTTCTGCTCCTGGGTCGTGGACTTGGTTGCTCAAGTCCGGCAGTTGGGAGCTTACATCAGCCTCTATCGGCTGTGGCAATGGAGGTTCTTCCTCAGCAACCAGCAGCTGTCTACAGCTGCTGCAGAAGTGTGTGTGTGTGGGGGGGAGTCTCTTGGGAACGCCTGGCTGGGCCTTCTTAAGGAATCAGAGTCACTCATTCCAAAATGCTGTGGATCTTTGTGAAAACTGTAGAAGTTCCCTGTCCAAAGTAAGGTTGCCAACCCCCAGGTGGAGCCTGGAACTGATGTCCAGACTATAGAAATCAGTTCCCTGGGAGAAAATGGCTGCTTTGGAGGCTGGACTCTATGGCATTATGTTCCACAGAGTTCCCTTCCTTCCCCCAAACCACACCCTCCCCAGGCTGTACTCCCAAATCTCCAGGAATTTCCCAAACTAGTTCTGGCAACCATGTCTCCAAGTGGACATGTTGAAGAACCATGTCGTTCAATAATATTTGATGACATTTCAAGTAAAACTCAAATGCAAATTTAAATGTATATTTCTACCTTGAAACGTGAACACTTAGGCTTGTAACCAGCCCTTGGCTGCTGTTTTTAGTAATTGCCATTTCATGTTTCTTATCAAATAATGTCAATATATCAATATCAGGGCTTCAGTCATCTTCCTCCTTTCAGAGTCTCCTTGGGACTGCCAAGATGGACCAGAGAGAAGGACCAGGGTGAGGAGGCACGTAACCCAAAAGGTTGGCAACCATTACTAGGAGAAAGAGGAAGGCCCAGGCCATGTTACCGGGGTTGCACAGGTAGTGATGGTGTAGTGGTTAAGAGCGGTGGACTCCAATTTGGAGAACTGGGTGTGATTCCTCACTCTTCCTCCACATGCAGCCAGCTGGGTGATCTTGGGCCAGTCACGAGTTCTCTGGGAGCTGTTCTCTCAAGAGAAGTTCTCTCAGAGCTCTCTCAGCCCCACCTACCTCACAGGGTGACTGTTGTGGGGTGAGGAAGGGAAGGAGATTGGAAGCACCTCTGAGACTGCGAGTGAAGAGTGGGGTAGAAATCCAACTCTTCTGCTTCCTCATCTTCTTCTTGTTGTGATGTACCTGTGACACTCTGGTATCTGGGCAAAAACTCTATAGTGGTCTCGTTCACACGGAGAAATTGCCACGCCAAAGACACGGATGATAGGCGGATTTTCAGTGCGCGATCACACCACAACGTCTGGGAAGCGTAGTACACCCGTGGCTAACCTGTGGCTTCTCGCCAAAGATGTAGAGTAAAAAACTACCACATATGATGTACTCGTTTCCGGAAAACGCGGGGCAAGGGCGGGCATCTGATCGAGTTTCCGCTTGAATCCCTTGTCATCTGGCGCCTGTCCATGTCCCGTTGCACACCAGATGGGTTTTTTTTTTGTAAGTCTCCACAGGATGTGCACAAACGATCATGCGCATGCGCAAATTTCGGTGTGAAAAAAAATCCCGTTTGCCACGGAAGCAGTGCCTAGCGATTGCTGGTGTGATCGTGCCACGCTGCTTCTTTGCCACGCTGCAGGGTAGCTGTGTGATTGGCACCTAACAGCCTAACCACGGGACCTCGACGGGACATGTGATCGGGCTACTGCGCGTTACTTTGCTCCGGGGGAAAAAGCCACGCTTCCTCCCCACATTTTCCGGCCCGTGTGACCGGGACCAATATATACCTTAGAGTTTTTGCCCAAATACCAAAGCATCGCCCAGACATTGTTGGCACGATGACATCACTTCCCGGGCTATGCCAGCAAGGTGGCCTGGCCCTTCTTCACTGGCCAGTTGAATCACTGTCAGTGGACCCCCACGTCCTCCAGGAGGGGTGTGTGGCCGAGGCACTAGAGATACTGACTTGGCTGAATGGTGAGTCATGACACTTCAGTGCAATGACAATAGTAAAAAGTTCCATTAAAACGAAATGTGTTTAGGCCGAGGCCTTCCGTAGTGGTACATATTGTTAAAATACATACCATAAAGTAAAATTATTCAGAATACAAAATACAGCATTTCTGAGCTAAGCTTTAAAACACGCAAAAGAAGCAGGATCAGTTCATTAACTAGATAATTCCCTCTTTATTAGAACCATAAAAAAACTTTTTTCAGATTGTTGTTGTTCATGGCCCAAATACCTCTGTAAGCAAGGTCAGAGTGAATTGAAGCAAAATACAACCACTGTACCACTGAGGAGGGCCTTGTGGCCAAAATGCATTTGGTTTTAGTGGAATTGTTTACTGTTTATAATGTGTTAAAGCTCTGTTGACTTAACATATGTAACCCATTAGTATTTATTCTGTTATCAAGCTTCTTGTCAATCTTCATGGTTACCTGGTTTTTCTGGGTTGAAGTCCCCCCCCCCCTTCTCTTTTGGTGTAGTGGTTAAGTGTGTGGACTCTAATCTGGGAGAACTGGGTTTGATTCCTCTCTCCTCCACTTTCAGCTGCTGGATGACCTTGGGCAAGCTGTTATTGAAAAGAGCAGTTCTCGAGAGAGCTCTCTCAGCCCCACCCACCTCACAGGGTATCTGAGGTGGAGAAGGGAAAGGAGTCTGTAAGCCGCTCTGAGACTCCGAGTGAAGGGCGGGGTATAAATCCAACCTCCTCCTCCTCTTTCTGTTTTGTTTTTCCAGATGCCAGGCCTGCTCCTACCTCTCAACACTGAGGTGGGTAGGGTTGCCATACCCCGATGGGGGTGGGCTTCCCCACGATTTCTGCTCCACAAATCCACCGCCAGCCAATTGACTGGTGGGGGAGCCCCACCCCCAAAGAGCCCTGAGCGCCTGATGTGCATGCCGTGATGATGTCACCCAGAAGTGACATCATCGTGCTGGGCATGGTGCAGGGAGACGCTCTAGCATTTGGCTAAAAACTCTATGGTGACCAGGTCAGCTGCCTGGAGCCTCCTGGCAGCAAAAGATATGGACCTGGCAAACCTGGGGGTGGGGTAGGGGGTTGAAATATCAGCAGCTGCCAGCAGCAGCTGCCACATCAGCCAGAGGTCTGGGAATGGATTAGAAACAAATTCGTGGAGCATGGTGGTACGCCAGAGTCCCCAATTTGGTATCCATGGGTGCCATGGTACCTGTAAATGATTTTTGTGGTTGGTTTTAGAAAGTGGGCAGGGCTGGGTGGGGCTTTTGCCCAGCAGGTCTTCTGATTGGCTGTGCACATTAAAAGGTATCCTGCTAAACAGCTTCTGCCTGAAATGTTGAAGAGTTAACATTTGTTAATATTATGAAGGCATTGGGTTTGCTGGGAACTGTAAATTCCACTGGTTCTGCTGGGCTTTCAACCCTCCCTTTCTTGGATTATGATTCTGTGCTTGAATTCTGTTGAGCTGGCATTGCCACAATGGCACTGAGTTCTGCTAGGCATTCTGCAATTGCACTGGCACTGCTGGGTACTCATAAGAAGATAGGAACATAAGAGAAGCCAATGTTGGATCAGGCCAGTGGCCCATCCAGTCCAACACTCTGTCACACAGTGGCCAAAAATACCAGGTGCCATCAGTGGGGCCAGGACACTAGAAGCCCTCCCACTGTTGCCCCCCCCCAGCACCAAGAATACAGTGCATCACCTGCCCCAGCCTGTGAGCTCCTATCTATATCTTGTGGCTAATAGCCACTGATGGACCTTTGTTCCATATGTTTATCCAGTTCCCTCTTGAAGCTGTCCATGCTTTTAGCCGTCGCCACCTCCTGTGGCAGTGAATTCCATGTGTTAATCACTGTTTGGGTGAAGAAGTACTTCCTTTTATCCATTCTAACCCAACTGCTCAGCAATTTCATTGAGTGCCCACGAGTTCTTGTAGTGAGAAAGGGAGAAAACTACTTCTTTCTCTACCTGTTCTATCCCATGCATAATCTTATAAACCTCGATCATGTCACCCCTCAGTCATCGTTTCTGCAAGCTAAAGAGCCCCAAGCGCTTTAACCTTT